CCTTGAGTTACGTATCAATTGCCCGTCATTTTTGTATATGTTTTCGTAAGAATAGAGTAAAACTCTGTTATGTTTGCTTGACATTTTAGCATGTGAGATTTTTGCAAATTAAACGGCCCAAAAAAAGATACTTCTGGTGCTCGGACAAGATTGAAATTTACCAGGGTTGGTGAAAGAGACACATTGAAAGAAAGAAAGAAAGAAAGAAAGAAAAAAAAAAAAAAAAAAAAAAAGAAAGAAAGAAAGAAAGAAGAGATTTATCTAGTGGAGGGCGTTATCTTACCTTCTGACCAATGGGGCCTGGGCTCTATCTCCTCCCCCACCCCCATCAAGTCAAATGACCTCCCGTTTGATCCTCACTTATTCCCTGTATAGGTGGATGAATTGTCTCTCTGCACTACCTCCATCTGCTTTTGAAATCCAAGACGCCGATCAAGCCTTGCCGAAAAGAAAGAGGTGGACGCTTTCTGGCCAAAAATACTCCTGCATCGCACGCTGAAGCTATGATTGTCATGACATTTCAATATACCTATCATCTCTAAAAACTGTCTAAAAACTGATTGTTCTCTTTGTACATTTATTGAACATACAGTGTAGCTCTGAGTATCCTCCCTAGAGTTGAGAGTTTCGACAGCTGTCAGCCATCGTTTTAAGAACTTAATTTATTGTTCGAAGCCATAAAAAGGTTTAAAAAAATTGGAATAGGTATGTCTCAAATTTTGATATAAGCGTCTCTCGGTGTTGTACCCTAACCAAGTACTTAAAAGATAAAAATGCGATGAGATACAATTTATCAAGAGGCTGTAGTCAATTCAATTTATCAATTAGCGAGTTCTACTTTATTCATAAAATTGTCTTAATATTAAGATTTAAATTTGTCGTGCTTGTTTAGAATGATTGTTTAGATACTGATTGAAAATCGAAGAGCTTTTCGGCGACAAAATCCAGCTATAATAAGTTCTACACTCACAAACAAATGGAACGGCTGTCAATAGGTCTTTAGAGATCGTAGTTCACCATTATGACAATATGGCAATGCAATAGGCATTTTGCAGCTAGAGATGGCGTGCTTAGATACCGCATAGCAACGCCATACTGGAGAGCAAGCAGTCCAGTGATCTCAGACAGTATAGAGGTCACAGAGATCTGCATTCAAACAAAGAATACAGCTGATAACAGGTCAAAAGGTATCCCAATTCGAGAAATCCAGTAAGAAGTAATCAACAGCTTCCCCAGAGTGTATCAGCAACAAAATCACACCAAAATTCGTTTTTCGCTGATACACTCCAAAGAAGCTGTTGATTAAAACTTACAAGATTTCTCGAAATGGGATACCCTTTAACTTGTTATCCGCTGTATTCTTTGTTTGAATGCAGA